ACGAGGGTAAATTTAATATAGTTGTCCAAAAAATTCGTTATATAAAAATTCGCTATAGAGAGGTATGACTGTACTTATATACGTAATTAGATCAACATCACTTCACGATTCCTCTACATTACTGAAGTCATGAGCCTTTTCCTTAGAATCAGATTTATCATAATATTCCTTAATCTATAATTCTGGAAAATTAGTCTTAAGAGCACAAACAATCCCTTGCACATCTTTTTTAAGATAGCAAATAAGTAACGCACTTATTCAATTTTCAAAAGATAATGAAGACGTATGCTTGGCCCAATCCCAAAGTTCAGTTAACACAACTTCTTTATTAGAAGCGAAGCAGAATGCCTTACCTTTCTGAGGCTGGTAAGTATTATAAATAATGGAGAAAGGTATATCCTTGCAAAAGATCTTAATCCATTTAATATTGAGGTCTGTTAGATTATTATCCATAACAATAATGCGCCTAGAATCTTGAATTAATTTATATAATTTTTCTATTGATTGCCTCGCCAAGCGACTTTGTGCTTGAGCAATTATAGACACTATTTCATCAAGCCATAAATTGTATTGACTCAAGGGAAATTTGCATTTTTTATTACATTTATATTTATTAACAATCCGGTGTAAACTCTCTATTTGACATACTACCTTTTTGTGATCAGATAGATTTATATTACTATCGATATCACAATATGACAAAATTAAATCTTGTAGTAATAGCATTTGAGTAAAAATGACATGTAAATAATACTAGCAAATTTACATCATTAGAAATAGCTAAATTTTCAAGAATATAGGTTTTTCCTATTTCCCAAGGTGACCTCACATAAATATCGCCTTCATTGAATAATTGTTTTATATACCTCTCTTCATATATTTCTGTCACTATAAGGGAATCATTATACTTGGCCTAAGATGGGAATTTTACAAAGGCTTTAGGAAAATTAAAGGCTTTTATCTATGAGATGATTGTGAAGAATTTTTATTTTCTTGTCTAATTTTTTCTACGATAGATGTGTCGCATTCAAAAACTTTCCCAAGTTCATCACTATCTTGCCGAAAGCATTTTATAATAATGTTCTGCTACTAGCATATACATGACTAAACTATCGCTGATCCTTATCATATATACGTTTATATAGTGAACATTCTAGTGGACCTTTCCAGTTGAAATATACAAAGTTTCTGAGTCCTTTTCTTCAATAGTTCAATCCCTAAGATAGTTAGAATACTTTTGCAAAATAAGGTTTATGTATTTTTGCAATATATCTTGACCTACAATTATTCTTAGTGGATTATTATTTTTTTTCTACACTAAGTAATCAGGGTCTTACTTCAAAACACAAACTAGTAGGTGGTTGAACTCTAGTATGATTAAGCTCGTTTTACCCATTATCTAGAGAGAATTAACAAATGTGTTTTACGTGACCTTTTTTGCCAAACTAATTAGGCAAAGGTTAAAATTCTGATCAGGTAATTTTTGATCAATAAACTTGCTAAATTTTTCACCGGTTATGGTATATACTAATTCTGTGAATGTTTTGAGTTCACAATGATCAATAAGAAGAGCCAGTACATATAAAATATGGTAGCCACATTTGCTAGAGTCTGATGATGTAGCAATTATTTATCCCTCAAGAATTTCCTCCCAGGTACAATCAAGAATTTGATACAAAACTTTTATGAAAGAAAAGCAGATTTGAATGAATACTTCTTATGCCTTAACACCAGATGTTTCCATATATCAATCACAACTCTTAAAGGTTTTTGGCCATTAATACATTCATGAATCCCAGGTAGGCCATATACTTCTAAAATATCATCTGCAACAGAAAACTTTGGGCACGATCCTCATCTTAGTTAATTTTGATAACTAATTTATTATCCACTTCATCCCGATCATAAGCATGATATAAACTAGACCCTTTTTTATTCGAAAAGAGAAATGAATAGATTGGAAAATAATCTAGTGAGCCTTTATCAACTAACATATCTCTAGATAGTGATAAGGTGATTTTTCAGATTTCACTTTTCAAATACTTGGAAGAAAAATTATCATTGAACTTTTTCTGCCTTAAAGTATATGTCACATTAACAGGTGGGTCTCCTCTCTCTTGTACAAATAGAATCTTGATAATGCTGGTTGAGATACAGTGAACTTCTTTATTATTTAACTTATAATTAGATTCGCAATTATTATAATTATCTGACTCTAAGTTGGATCCATTATCAGTACAACTGCTAGAGTCACTTAAATATTCATTGGACTCAGTGCCGTCATAGAGGGTAAACATTGGGCTAAATCAAGTGTGATCAGTTTGGTCGAAAATATTTGGGTATACATGATGTCAGTAAGAAAAGTTATATTATCTCAATATATTTCGGAAATGTTTAAAATATTTTTTTGATAGATGCGAAAAAGAAGCTATGATAAACTTAATAAGTAAATTATAGAAGAAAGGCATCCAGATGTATCTGAAAATAAAGGCTTCTGCAGAATTATACTAGGTAATAGGATCCGTTCAAAGTCCAAAACATGGTATGATATATAAATTATAATATCATATTTCACATAATTAATTATTTTGTAACATAAAAGATATAACACATGATAACGTAAACAAAATGTTATTGGTTATCAGGCTTGCCAAATTTGGACAAACAGAATGACCTTATATTTAAATGACCTAGAAGTAAAATGTCCACTATGTTTCAGACAATTATATAAAAATAGCAGAAACCTTCATCTGAACTTAGTGAGCAAATTGTAAATAAACATATTCTTAATAGGTGATACTTAGGGTAGCCTTCTGTGTAATCTATTATATAAATATTAGCAGAAAGCTATCTTATCACTAGTATGTACTCAGCTGTAGTATAAAGGCTTCTGCAGAATTATATTATATAAAAATGGCAAAAACCTTCATCTGAACTTAGTGAGCAAATTGTTAAAAAAAAGGCATCCAGTTGTATCCGAAAAATGAAGTATTCTCTGTAATTATATTATATAAAAATGGGAGAAGACTTAACTTTTCTAGATATATATTCAGGTATGGTATTAGCCTTCGTGTAATATAAAGGTATACCAAAAAGAGATGTAAAAGAGATGTATAGTAGATTGGTAAAAAAAATAGGAATAAGCATGTTCTCAATAGGCAAATATAAGGTAGGTAAGTGCGTAATCTATTATATAAATATTGGCACTTACTTACCCTATCACTAGTATATGTGCTCAAGTATGAGTACTTTTATTAGCATATTAATTTTTCGATAGACGAAAAAAGAGACGTATAGTAAGCTAGTAAGCTAATTGTAAAAGGAAGACAAGTAGATATGTATCTGAAAATGAACCTTCTTCATAAATATATATATAAAATTAGAAGAAGGTTCCATCTTTCTAGATATGTGTTTGGCTATGGTATAGTCTTCGCATAAGACTTATTTGCTTAATATCAGTCAACACTATTCCATAATTTCAGCTGGAACTTTGGACATAATAACTCGATATCTAAGCTAGTATAAAACTGACAAACTAATAAAACCTCTCTGATTTCCTGCCAGTTCCTCACCAGTTCCATGACAGTTCTAGAAGAGTTCCATAATACTATCAGAAAGCTATCACAAAGCTATCACAACACCAAATTGAATCCTTAAATTACATATCTAAAAGATTGGCCAGAGTTATACCATAGAGCCAGCAAAAATTAATTGCAAATACACTGCGCTACCTATCGCTTCTTTTTTACATCATTTCAGTATTTTAAAAGGCAATCAAGCAAGCACAAAAAAGAAGCATCCTCAATATCTTAATAGGCTACCAAACAGGCTCAGAAGTAGGTAAACAAATGGATAGCTCTTTAGGAATAAAAAGAATACAGAGTAATATAAACACATGGATAGTTCCTTGATAAAAGAAATGTCATAGATAAGGGCAGTGACATATATTACTTAATATCAATTTATTATAAGCGTCTACCTACACACCCCCAGGTAAGATATTCCAATCACGTGAACATCGATCACTTTCCTTTTATAGAATTTGTATATCAGTTGTA